GAGGGGACATGTGAGGGGCGGGGGGAGTGTGAGGCGACATGTGAGGGGCGGGGGGGGTGTGAGGCGACATTTGAGGGGCGAGGGGAGTGTGAGGCGACATTTCAGGGGCGAGGGGAGTGCGAGGCGACATTTCAGTGGCGAGGGGAGTGTGCGAGGTGACATTTCAGTGGCGAGGGGAGTGCGAGGCGACATTTCAGTGGCGAGGGGAGTGTGCGAGGTGACATTTCAGTGAGCTCAAGGAAAATTTTTTATAAAATATTTATTGTTTAACCAAATATAAAATGCATTTTTATTTTTGTAATTAAAAAGTTGGTGGGGGGGGGGGAGGAGAGACCTAGTCAAACAATTGGTGGTTGGGTGCACAATATAGTAAAAGTTTGAGAAACGCTCCTGGAAAAGAACTGATCACCACCTAACTACTCATACTTAAAACACTACAGTGTAATATCGTAAGAATACACCCAGGTATAAAAAAAAGAAAGAATTATTCCATAAGAACTCTATACCATGATAACCCCAACAGACAAACCACAATGCAATGCGTTAGTTAGCTTTAAAACCAAACGGTATTTCAAAATACAGTCCAATCGATAGGACTATGACCTAAGTCAATCTTACTAACTAAAATATATCAATAGATAATCGGCCATCCAAAACTAAACCCATACAATTTAGCATAAGCAGAACGGGTAAAACAGACAATTTAGTATGAGCCGAACGGGTAAAACAGACAATTTTAGTATGAGCAGAACGGGTAAAACAGCTGACAACGTTATCAAAGAACACATCTCCATAAAAATTAATTTCACGGCCATCAAACCTCCCCACCCCCATACCCCTTGTAACACAGCGAAGCATTAGGTTCATCTGCATGTATTGATCATTAGACCTTGCCCTTAATTTATAGGCTATAGTTGCGTTCATTAAATTTTTCATTTACATATAAGATGCAAGCGAATAATGAAACTATGTGTTATTGTCGGGTCGAGTTTTTATACAAGATGTGCTAGCATGGGAACACAACTACAAGATGTGCTAGCATGGGAACACAACTACAAGATGTGGTAGCATGGGAACACAAATACAAGATGTGCTAGCATGGGAACACAAATACAAGATGTGCTAGCATGGGAACACAAATACAAGATGTGCTAGCATGGGAACACAAATACAAGATGTGCTAGCATGGGAACACAAATACAAGATGTGCTAGCACGAGAACACAGCATGTAGGGCCTAATAAAGACCCGTTTGTCATAAACTAGGCAAAAAAGGAGGGGAAAATAATCTACTTACATACAAGAGTAATTCATGTATGTGGTTTTGCCATAGCGGTGTGCAAGTATCAACGGCTTTGTATCACTAGCTTTGTATCACCAGCTTTGTATCAAGAGCGTGGTATCAACAGATTGATATCAGAGAGATTTATATCCAGAGCCTTGTATCACCAGCTTTGTATAAAAAGAGCGTGGCGTCGCCAGATTGGTACATCCAGGAAAAGATCACCCAGAGTGATGGAAAGTTGCAGTAATCACGACAGTGGGCACACGGGTAACGCCCCCTTTCTGACCGCATATCGGATGTTGGGGCGATATCAGGGGCGTAGTTTTACTCTACGGTGAAAGGTGGTGAAAGCCCGAGGGGGTGGGAGAGGTGAGGGGGGGGGGGAAGATTTGACTCACTTAATGTAAAAGAAGGAAATACAAAAAAGATGGGTGGTTGGGGGTGGGGGGGGGAGGGTGAGTTTTGTTTCTATCTATATTTAACAAGGATAGGGTTACAGTTACATCAATATTTTTTTAATGTTAAATTTCTAACGACAAACACTAAGAGATGCTATAAATAGAGGTCTACGCAACTGAGTGTGGTCTTACGACGGGAAAAGATACACAACATCTTTATTTATACATAATTATAAAGAGATACCGTGGGTTGGCGCCATTGGCGTAGGCAAGGGGGGGGCAGGGGTGTGGTTAGCCCAGGGTGGCACTTTTTTTTCATTATATGGAATGCGGCATTTTTTAACGACNAGATCAATATTAGAAACACTTATCAAAAAGAGAAATAATGCAAAAATTTATTTGACACAAGGATACGACACTGAACGCCACCCCCCCCCCCTCACTCCCAGAAAAAAACCAAAAAAACTTGTACCTTATAAATAAACAAGTTTTGAGGTGAGATACAGAGTGTGAAATTCTCTCCCCGCATCTATGTATGCACCCCCCCCCCAAATCCATTAATACCACAGCACGCCGCTGTTCATGACGTCATCTGTCCGCTGTGATTGGCTGATATCCGAAATCTATGGCCCGTTCGCTTTTTTGTGTTTTGTGTTTGATAGACCACGAGTCCCAGCATCACACGTTAACAGCCAGCGTCTACTTCACAACGTGTTGGATCAAGCCTTGCCTGTCCCTATGTCATAGACAGGGGCGTAACTATGGCACGTTTGGGTCAGTTGAAGGGGGAGTTGTGGGGGTGGGCATATTAAATCATTTATATGCAATATGGCATAATGAACAGACCCTGCGCAACGTATATGAATTTATGCGCCCTATTCCCCAAAAAGTATATTTTAATGCGCATTAAAAAGAATGAAGATTTTGGCGCCCTCTGAAGCTTACGCCTGGGGCGTGCGCCCCCTTTGCACGACCATGTTTCTGACAATGTCATATGCCATATGGTTTAATCACGTCACAACCCGTGACCTGCACTTAAAATCTCAACGTGCAAGTATCGCATTCTATCAAATTGAATTACGTGTAGCCATCTTGATTCAGTTACAAGCGTACTGTTGACTGCGGCCTGAAGAATTTATATGATGATAACAATTGAGATAAACCCTGCTTCTTGATTTGCTGTACTACATACATTAGGGGCATGGGGGGTGGGGGTGGGGGGAGATGGTGCGTAGATTAATTACGTAAGTTGCTGACTCTCGTAAACACACATTGCATAGCACACGTTTTAATGATGAACTGAAAATACATTTCTGTAGCAGATTTAGTGGCGATGATCGAATGGGGAAAATAGTGTGTGTGTGTGTGTGTGTGTGTGTGTGTGTGTACGTGTGTGCGTGATGAGGTAAGGGGTGTGTCAGATGACCTAAGTTACCTACCATGATGACCACGTCCAAGACCTAACTAAGTTAAATACCATGATGACCTCGTCCAAGTTCTAAGTTACCTACCATGATGACCTCGTCCAAGTCATAACTAAGTTACCTACCATGATGACCTCGTCCAAGTCCTAACTAAGTTACCTACCATGATGACCTCGTCCAAGTTCTAAGTTACCAACCATGATGACCTCGTCCAAGTTCTAAGTTACCTAAGTTACCTACCATGATGACCTCGTCCAAGTCCTAACTAAGTTACCTACCATGATGACCTCGTCCAAGTCCTAACTAAGTTACCTACCATGATGAACTCGTCCAAGTTCTAAGTGACCTACCATGATGACCTCGTCCAAGTTCTAAGTTACCTACCATGATGACCTCGTCCAAGTCCTAACTAAGTTACCTACCATGATGACCTCGTCCAAGACCTAACTAAGTGACCTACCATGATGACCTCGTCCAAGTTCTAAGTTACCTACCATGATGACCCCGTCCAAGTCCTAACTAAGTTACCTACCATGATGACCTCGTCCAAGACCTAACTAAGTGACCTACCATGATGACCTCGTTCAAGTCCTAACTAAGTTACCTACCATGATGACCTCGTCCAAGACCTAACTAAGTGACCTACCATGATGACCTCGTCCAAGACCTAGCTAAGTGACCTACCATGATGACCTCGTCCAAGTCCTAACTAAGTTACCTACCATGATGACCTCGTCCAAGACCTAGCTAAGTTACCTACCATGATGACCTCGTCCAAGACCTAACTAAGTGACCTACCATGATGACCTTGTCCAAGACCTAACTAAGTTACCTACCATGATGACATCGTCCAAGTCCTAACTAAGTTACCTACCATGATGACCTCGCCCAAGACCTAACTAAGTGACCTACCATGATGACCTCGCCCAAGACCTAACTAAGTGACCTACCATGATGACCTCGTCCAAGTCCGTCCCAGCACTCTTGACCCTCCTCTCTTTGTTCTTTCGTAAACTTTTCAGGCGCGTGAACTTCGTCTTGAGATCCCACTTGAAGCCGAGTTTGATCTTCTCCCGCTCGTTCTTGGCCTGCGTGAACAACTTCCGCTGTTGCCTCAGTCGCGTCAACGCCCTGTACGATCCCGCTCTGCCGACGCCAGTGTCCGGAATCATGGGAATCACCCCGGCCGCCGACTGCCTGTCCAACTTCAACTGGTACGGCGTGGTCCGGTTCCAGGGGCGTCGCTTGAAGTAAATGCTGGAGTACGGGGGCAGCTTGGGCGGAGGGGTTTTACGTTTGGAACAACATTTTCTGCAGCAGCAACAACATACTGGCATTGATGAACGTTGCAAGCTTTATGATCGCAGCTTCATGACAGCTCACATTGCGATCAGCATCAACATGTCACTAGCTTGTGTCTTCAAAATAAACATGCGTGTTTTTCTTCACAGACTCAGACAGATGGCTTTTATGCATTTTTAAAGTATTGTTAACCCCCCAAAATTGAACACACGGTTTTTAAATTTCGATTCTTTGCTTACGTCTGCTAAAGCTCGAGAGGTTATATGTCGCTTTTTATTTACATAGTAGGTTATGAAATGCGACTTCAAGTTTTGGTGTTTGTTTGGACTACGAGTTCCCACTTCTTACCAAATCTTCTTCAGGCGCTGTCAGTGTTCACTAGGCACAACTGAGCACTTTCCGCGACAATTTTCCCCATTTTTGTAGGGGAAATAGGCGTGCGCTACACGTTCAAAAGACGCGATTCCTTCCCCTAGTTAGCAGCTCTCTATTTCATTAAAAGGAAAGTTTAATTATAGGAGCTGTTAGAAGAAACCACAACATGGCAGCACTTACAACACGTCAACTGTTTTGTACGTCTACGTATTGTATTTGTTATGCTATAAAAAAAAATTAGCTACGCATTTATAACATGAAAAATGTTAGCACTCTGATATCATTACACAAATAATTGTCAAACTGAATTTGAACTGGCACTCTTAAAATTGATTAGATGCGCAATTAACAATTATTAATACTTCCTTTTTTCTAATTCAAGCTTTCATAGTTTACTTCACTGTCACTTTATAGACTTAGAAGTTGATGCAAATGCAACGAATACAGCTTTGCAACTTATTAATTAAATTTATTTTGGGAGTCTGAGACTGAGGAGTGCCTGGCAATATTGATATTTTGGTCTTTGGTGTTAGGCAGAGCTTGATGTGCCTTAGTTGCACAAGAGTAAGAGCATTATTCACTATGGACCATGGATAAAAATAAAGTGCATTGAGTCCTCTTCCTCTATGCAAAAAAAAATGATGTCACAACTAACAAGACAAGCAAATTAAGCAATTTTATTCCTATTTTATATCTCAGATTTTCGGCAAGAACCACTGTCCACCTGTGGTTACTCCACTGTCCACCTGTGGTCTCTCTATTGTCCACCAGTGGTCATTCCGTTTCCTTACATGGTCTTTGTAGCTGGTGTTACATACTGTACACATCAAAATTATAGATACAAACATCAAAATAAAACTAGTAGACAAATAGTTGCAATCTGAGTACAGTCGTTTGCGGTTGAAAAAAAGGATAGTAATAAGTGTCCAAATTAGTGCACATGAAATAATGACAAATTTAGTCCTAGGCCTAGGGAACCAAAGGGACATTTTGCGCTGCAGAGTCATTTTTAAAAACATTAATCACGAGCACATCTGCATGGCAGGAAAATATCAATTGTTAGATTCATTCCATTTGTTCTGTTTTGTGGCTGCTAGTGGGATCAGGAATCAATTTGACCAGAAAATTGATGACATGAGAATGATATGTTACATAAAATTGATAGTGATAGAGACATTAAAAAGGACATCAAATAATATATATGCATATATTTTTTCTGGATAACATAATTATCTATAATACAGTTTTAGAATCTCTGTGACATTTTACCCCCTCTTTTTTCTTCAAGGCCAGAAAGGAAAATCTTATTTAACTGGTGTGATCCAGCAACACAGGGAATCTTCCATAGCCGCTGCTAGAAACATCTTAGACAAGGAGCTAGAGAACATAAAAAGTGCAGGCACTTATAAAAATGAGAGGGTCATCACATCGCAGCAGGGCAGGTCAATCAATGTTCAAGGCAGAAAGGGAGGAATCCTTAACTTTTGTGCAAATAACTATTTGGGATTGTCTGTAGGTTTTTGTTCTTTTGCTCTGCATCAGTTCATTTTTAAATTGATCCTTATATGTTATATAATATGGAAAAACTTTATAGTGATTACATGTTTTTTTTAAACGGTAAAAGAAAAAAAATTAAAGTTTGTGGTTTAAATTAGTACAATACTGGCAATTAAAGTATCTTTTGATACGTGCCGCGAAATAAAGTTTAGATTTGTTTATAGATAAATATTGTAATGGTCATTTATGTATGTAGAGTCATATCTGGCTACTTGAATGAGTTGACAATAATCTAATACGTCTCTTTAGCGGTTATAATAATGAAAGCAATTACTTTTTGGTTTATTTTAAATTATAGTTTTAACTAAAAAAATAAACAGATTTTAACCTTGGCCCTATACTTTATTATGTGTCAACAAAATTATGTTCCAGTTTAGGCTCGTGTTCATTAACTGTGGAAAACGTTTGACGTTTTATTAAAGAATATATTTTTTTAGAACATTTAATTTGTTAGCCAACTTTATTTTGACTTACATGTCTTTAATTCTATCACTGAAAAGAGTCATCCAGAAGTCATTGAAGCTGGGAAAAAGGCGCTGGATACCCATGGTGCTGGACTCAGCTCAGTACGCTTTATTTGTGGCACACAGGTATATTTTCATGGTTTCTTTCAGGAAGGTATATTTTTTTTTTTTAAATAAAGAGTAATTTAACCAGAGGAGAGGAATCCACCTTTGTGTATGGGCTGATGCTGTGGAAAATATCAGTAGGGCTAGGTCTCTATGGCCCAGATCTTTTCTATTTTTCTGCACAGGGTCTCTTTGAATCTACAAAAAGAAACTCAAATTTTGAAATGGATCCGGGTTTTTAATTTTTTTTAACACCAAGTTATTCTTTAGTTATTTCACATAATAAAAAAGAATATTCAATTTTTTGTAGAAATTTTTTTCTTAAGTAACTGAAATTGTTTAAATCTCACATTTTCTTCAGGATATCCATAAAGAACTAGAAGCCAAAGTTGCTCAGTTCCATGGTAAAGAAGATGCCATCTTGTACATCAGCTGCTTTGATGCTAATGCTGGAATCTTTGAGACCCTTCTGAGCCCAGAGGATGCAGTCATTTCTGACGAGTTGAATCATGCTTCAATCATTGATGGGATCAGACTTTGTAAAGCTCATAGGCTCCGATACAAACATAGAGATTTGGAAGGTACGGAGCGTCTTTTAATAAAGAGTTTTAGATGTTTATCAAACATTTCTTACAATGATGTGTATCTGATAATTCTTTTATATATTTTGTTCTTTCAATTATGTCAAAAGAGTAACATGAGTAATGCCTCATAATAGTAATGTCTCATCGTCCCTTGAATCTCCGCAGATCTGCAGAACCATCTGACCTCAACCAAGGGCTGCCGCCAACGACTTATTGCAACGGATGGTGTCTTCAGTATGGATGGCAATGTTGCTCCCCTCAGGTACAAGAATATGATTATTACAAAATGGACATAGATTTGATTGATATGATTTGATTGACATCGTTTAATTGGCATAATTTGATTGACATAATTGATCCATGTTGTCAATTGATCCATGTAAATTGCTATTTCGTGTTGGCTGTAGGGGTTATCCAATGTTTTTATTAAGTTAAAGAAAAAAAAATAATGAAGAGAATAAACAACAAAATGAATGGTTGGGAAATCATTTTTTTTCACTTACACCTCTGAGTTCAAAAAATTGTTTGATTGGCTGTGATGTAAAGCAGAGATGCATCAGATATTTACCATACTTTAAATTAAGTTTGAAATAAACACTTTTTACCAAGAAATCTTTTCACTACAAAATTGTACTAAAAGTAGGAAATGGTTTAGTTGTACTTGGCTATAACTTAATTGCTCTAGAACATGGTTAGTTGTAGTTTGCTATAATATAATTATTCTAGAATATGGTTTAGTTGTAGTTTGCTATAATATAATTGTTCTAGAATATGGTTTAGTTGTAGTTTGCTATAATATAATTATTCTAGAATATGGTTTAGTTGTAGTTTGCTATAATATAATTATTCTAGAATATGGTTTAGTTGTAGTTTGCTATAATATAATTATTCTAGAATATGGTTTAGTTGTAGTTTGCTATAATATAATTATTCTAGAACATGGTTAGTTGTAGTTTGCTATAATATAATTATTCTAGAATATGGTTTAGTTGTACCGGTACTTGGTTATATGTTAATTGTTAAAGGTCAGTGTTATATTTAATTTATTTAATTCCTTATTGCAGGGAAATTTGTGATCTGGCAGACAAACATGATGCCCTGGTGTTTATCGACGAGTGTCATGCTACTGGTTTCTTTGGGCCGACAGGAAGGTTGTTCTGGTTTTGATGGCTTTGATAAAAATTTTGGCTTTTCATTTTTTGTTCTTATTATCTGATTCTTATCCCAACTGGCTATCTCCAGCCAAACAATGGTGGCCGCAACACATGAATTTCCCATCTTCTGAAGTTGCTACAGAAAACATGCAATGAATTAATGCTCTTAATATGAAACCCAATTAGTGCTAACATCCCCCCCACCCCCCCTGCAACCACATACTTTTTTCATGCCCGTGAACCACATATTAATATTCGAATGTTCCACCCACTTTTATACTGCGGATTTATGATGCCATATTAAAATTGATAATTTTACGCACCAAATGCACTTCCTGTATTTTTCACAATCTCATTTAGTGCAGTTATTTGAGAATTTTACTTAGTAAAATCGGCGCCTTCTGGTAATGTTAGTGACATTGTTACAAAGAGAATCATGTATTTTGATCTATCTCTTCTTTGGTTTAGAGTGTCTCAATTTTCATTTGACTTTGTTAAATAAATGAGAAAACCCATCAATTATTTAAAAATGACAATTCACTAAGTTTAAACGTCACATAAGATGTTGACAAGACAGACTGACAAAGGAGATTGAATCCAAGTTAATGATTTAATCTTTCCTTTCCAGGGGGACCGAGGAGCACTGTGACGTGACAGGACGGGTGGACATCATCAACTCCACTTTAGGCAAAGCACTCGGAGGGGCTGCAGGTGAGATAAGTCGCCCTGCCTCATTTTCTGTCTCGGGTTAATCCTGTAATATAGGCCAAAACGTCCCAAAGTGCCCTCGTTTTATAGCCATTTTAATTGTTTCTATAGTATAGTAGTAACTATCCTAATGTCTCATTTTTATTTTACTTAGTTTACATGTTTTTAATAATTGTAAAGCGCTTAGAGCTTTAAGGTAAGCGCTATATAAAAATGCCTAAATAAATAAGTGTGAATGGATAAGTCTCAAGCCGGCTGCTGCCCGGCGCATGCTTGGAGTATATCTTATGTATAGATATTTAGAGCACAGCTTCATACTCTTTGTACAAACGAGAACCTTTCTGGATGAGATTTTTTTTAAAAATTTAAAATGTGCCTTGGAGAAATTTCAGTTTTACAAAAGTTGATTTCATGGGCAAACGACCCAAATGTGTGTGTTACTACAAGGTTGACCTTTGTTACAACACTGATTTGTAGGCCAGTCTGTTTAAATGTAGGCCAGTCTGTTTTAATGTAGGCCAGTCTGTTTTAATGTAGGCCAGTCTGTTTTAATGTAGGCCAGTCTGTTTTAATGTAGGCCAGTCTGTTTTAATGTAGGCCAGTCTGTTTTAATGTAGGCCAGCCTGTTTTAATGTAGGCCAGTCTGTTTTAATGTAGGCCAGTCTGTTTTAATGTAGGCCAGTCTGTTTTAATGTAGGCCAGCCTGTTTTAATGTAGGCCAGTCTGTTTTAATGTAGGCCAGTCTGTTTTAATGTAGGCCAGCCTGTTTTAATGTAGGCCAGCCTGTTTTAATGTAGGCCAGTCTGTTTTAATGTAGGACAGCCTGTTTTAATGTAGGACAGCCTGTTTTAATGTAGGCCAGTCTGTTTTAATGTAGGCCAGTCTGTTTAAATGTAGGCCAGTCTGTTTTAATGTAGGCCAGTCTGTTTAAATGTAGGCCAGTCTGTTTTAATGTAGGCCAGCCTGTTTTAATGTAGGCCAGTCTGTTTAAATGTAGGCCAGTCTGTTTTAATGTAGGCCAGCCTGTTTTAATGTAGGCCAGTCTGTTTTAATGTAGGCCAGTCTGTTTTAATGTAGGCCAGTCTGTTTTAATGTAGGCCAGTCTGTTTTAATGTAGGCCAGTCTGTTTTAATGTAGGCCAGTCTGTTTAAATGTAGGCCAGTCTGTTTTAATGTAGGCCAGCCTGTTTTAACGTAAGCCTGCCTCTTTTTGTGTAAGACAGCCTGTTTCAATATAGGCCAGTCAGTTTCGAAGCCAGATTTTAATTCAATAAAAGACTAAGTATTCAGTGATGGTCTTTAGATCAATCTTTTTTCAATGGGATTACTACTAATATAAAAACAGCCTGCCTAGTGATCCAGATGTAATGTAAAGTCTAGGCTTATGTCTGCACAATATCGTGTTTGGTCTTAAGCTTATTATAAAGGGTGGTTAATTTATTAGAAAGCATGAACTTTGCTTGTAGTCTGGGGTAAATAAAAACATAGAAATAGAGTTCATTGATCTGAGCATAGAAATAGAGTTCATTGATCTGAGCATAGAAATAGAGTTCATTGATCTGAGCATAGAAATAGAGTTTATTGATCTGAGCATAGAAATAGAGTTCATTGATCTGAGCATAGAAATAGAGTTTAATGATCTGAATATAGAAATAGTTTATTGTTCTGAAAATAGAAATATTGTTTATTGATCTAAACAAAGAAATAGAGTTCATTGACCTGAACATAGAAACAGAGTCACATTGACCAGAAAATAGAAATAGAGTCACATTGACCAGAACATAGAAATAGAGTTTATTGATCTGAACATAGAAATAGAGTTCATTGACCAGAACATAGAAATAGAGTTCATTGATTTTATTGTTTACACAGGGGGATACACAGCTGGACCAAAACAGCTGATTGACCTACTTAGACAGAGGTCACGACCTTACTTATTCTCCAACACATTGCCCCCTCCAGTTGTGGCCTGTGCCAGCAAGGTAAGGAACACATCTCCATGTTTGTAGTCACATGTTTTGAGTGCGCTAACAACACAATCAGCAGATGGTCTGGTTAACTTGGATTTGAACTTTGACCTGTGATCGCTGTTCTATAATATTTAGAGCTCTGCAAAGTTTTCAACTGGTGGCCTGTTGTGTGTCTCTGAGACTCTAGCTAACATCTTATTTTGTGTATCATACATATTATGTCTCAGTCTGAAATGTTTAGAGGCAATAAAACTCATATAGGCTCCGTTATATATTGGAGATAATTTAGACTGTATTATAAGGAAAAAATTTAAATCCTGTATTATATGGGAAATAGTTAATTTATTGCTATTTAAGGAAATAATTTAGACCGTGTATTTTATAGGAAACAATTTAGACTTGGTATTATTGTTTTATTTTGTTTCTTCTCAGGCCCTCGACCTTGTCATGACCAACACTGAGCTCCCTAAGAAAGTTCTGACCAACACTCAGAGGTTCAGGACTAGAATGGTGGATGCCGGCTTCACCGTGGCCGTAAGTTGGCCCTTCACCCGCTTTCATTCTCTACATCTACGGTGCCCAAGCTTTTAGCTTTGGCAGAGTGTCAGATTCATGAATTCTTTTTATTTGACCTTGAATAAGTCATACTATTTTTTTAAAAATCTGTCATCAGCCGAATCCATTGGAATCGATGCACTGCCATAACATTTAATTTTAGCCGTTATATATTTTTCTGGTTACAGCTGTTTTTCAGTATTGGATTTCACATCCATTCAGTGGATAGTCTCCTCTTGGAAAGTAAAATGATCACTTAAGTTTGTCAAGTGTTAAGCCAGGAGATTTTGTAGAGATGTGTCAGCTTTCATAGTGATGTGTCAGCTTTCATAGAGATATGTCACCTTTCATAGTGATGTGTCAACTTTCATAGAGATATGTCACCTTTCATAGTGATGTGTCACCTTTCAAGATGATGTGTCTGCTTTCATAGAGATATGTCACCTTTCATAGTGATGTGTCATCTTTTATTGTGATCTGTCACCTTTCATAGTGATGTGTCATCTTTTATTGAGATATGTCACCTTTTTATAGTGATGTCACCTTTCATTGAGATATGTCACCTTTCATAGTGATGTGTCACCTTTTATAGAGATGTGTCACCTTTTATAGAGATATGTCACCTTTCATGGTGATGTGTCACCTTTCATAGAGATGTGTCACCTTTCATAGTGATGTGTCATCTTTCATATAGATGTGTCACCTTTCATAGAGATATGTCACCTTTCATGATGATGTGTCAGCTTTCATAGAGATATGTCACCTTTCATAGTGATGTGTCATCTTTTATTGAGATATGTCACCTTTCATAGTGATGTGTCATCTTTTATTGAGATATGTCACCTTTCATAGTGATGTGTTATCTTTTATTGAGATGTCACCTTTTTATAGTGATGTCACCTTTCATTGAGATATGTCACCTTTCATAGTGATGTGTCATCTTTCATAGAGACATGTCACCTTTCATTGAGATATGTCACCTTTAGGTCGAAACATCAATTGTGTCATCAATTGCTTCCCCTTTATCAATGATTCAAAACAATTGTGAAACCAAATCCTTACACGCGTCTGGGGGTTTGATTGTACCCACCGATCATGTCAGCCGTTGGGCTGAACGAAGCCATCTTTCCTTTCAAGCCTTGCATGAAAGGGCTGAGTGGATTCAACTTGGCAAACATAACTGCAAAGTAAGCCAATGTGGCTATCCTTTCTGTTGTCTTTTTTGTTGTGCAGAATTCTGTATTAAAGCTCCTTTGCTATTAAAAAAACTTTGATAAAACTTTACCTCTTGACAGCAAGCCTACTTGACAGCCAGCCTACTTGACAGCAAGCCTACTTGACAGCCAGCCTACTTGACAGCAAGCCTACTTGACATGCAGTCCAAGTTGCTTGTGCTCAGCCTCTATGCTATCACATAATACAGGAATTAGTCTTGAATTTAAAGCTTCCATTACTCAATCACAACCCACTATGCAACAATACGTCATTTGCCCTTAGGCAAAAGAAGTCACAGAACACCAGGCATTTACCAGCAACGTCTACCCAAATACTCTCCAAACAACACACAAGTACGTACAAGTCCTTAAAACTTGTTCAACTTTTATGTGTTATCTGTGCTCACCCTTTTTTTCCATAGAAACATTTCTTGGGGTTGCCAGTAAGGGCATGACGTTGTAACACCCAAAAAATATATATTGATTAAATTGGTTGGGCTTTGTTTTGTGTGGTCTTTGAATGAGAGGTTTCACATATCTCAAAATTGTAGTCAGGTGCAAAGTTTCAGCTTTCTTGGCTCTTCTTCATGTCCACAACATGGGGTCTTTTTAACCTAAAGACACTCTCCATTTTTGAAGTTTGTTTTGAAAAGAGTCTCAATTATGTGACTTTAACCCCAATTTCATGTGTGGACGTGCATCGTAAGCCTAGAGGACTGGCGCCAGTCCATGGACCACCATTTGGTGAATGCTGCTCTACACATAAACTATATCACGTATTTACCTCGGCTCTACATGTAAACCATACCATTTATTTACCTTGGCTCTATATGTAAACTATACCATGTATTATCTGTGCTTTACACATAAAATATAACATGTATTTACCTGTGCTCTACACGTAAACTGTATCACGTATTTACCTCGGCAAGTTTGCAGCTTGTTAATTTCTGGCTATGTAAGTGTTGACCTTGACTTTGTCCCACAGGGAGATCCCTGCCATCCCATCTGCCCTGTCATGCTGGGAGATGCCAGACTGGCTTCACAGTTTGCTGACCAAATGTTGGGTAAGCGATGTTGTTGTTGTTGTGGAGTTAAGGGGACGTCACTCCCAGAGAAGATAAAGCTTGCATTGACATTTAAAGAATGAACCCAGTGATAGGGGCAATGAAACTGTTTTGGTGTTCTCATTATATTTCATCATCAATGACATTCATTCAAAACATTGGAAACTGCCGGGCTTGTTTCTGTAATGTAACTGGAGTTTAGAAACTCAAGGGTGGAGTGGCTGCCCACACATTCCATTCAACAGGAATGGAATCAATATGGTCAGTCAAACCAGCTAAAGCAATATCTTGTTTGAAATAGACAGATCAATACGATGAAATTTGTCTCAATCTAGTATCAAATAAACAGGTAATTGAGATGAAGTGTGTCTCAGTCTTTTTTCAAATAAACAGGTGAATGAGATGAAATGTGTCCCAATAGTGTATCAAATAAACACGTGAATGAGATGAAGTGTGTCTCAATCTAGTATCAAATAAACAGGTGAATGAGATGAAGTGTGTCTCAGTCTTGTATCAAATAAACAGGTGAATGAGATTAAGTGTGTCTCAGTCTTGTATCAAATAAACAGGTGAATGAGATGAAGTGTGTCTCATGTTGTTTATCTTCCATTGCTTCAGATATTGGCATCTATGTGATTGGGTTCAGCTACCCAGTGGTGCCCAAAGGCAAGGCCAGGATTCGTGTCCAGATCTCAGCGGCGCACTCCGAGCAGGACATTGACAAAGCCGTGGACGCCTTCATTAAAATTGGTCGAAACCTAAAGGTCATACAGTAAAGTTGCTGGGAGCACAATGAAAGATGGAACTAGCAGTTCAAAGGACACTGGCTGGTCACGTGTGTTAGAGATTAGGTTAAAATAATAGGTGGTGGCTCCATTAATTTTTTTTGGTTTAGGATCAAGCAACTGATTTTGTTATGCCTTGCGTCTTGCTCTGTGCACATACTTTTTATGTCAACCTTCTGTTCAATGTTAGTTTTAGTTGTTTCTGAAATATTTATTTTTCCATAAATTTTATGTTTGTTCGTTTACAGATTTCTCAAATGGTGTGCATATGGTTTTTACACCCATGCTCATATACATTGCCCCACGACAAGGCCATACATTGCCTAATGAATTCATTTTGTTCCCTTTATATTTGATGGTTTTGGTTCATTATCAGAGACGTACATTTCTCAGTTGATGTTTTCTCACCTTTGCATTTACTTCACTTTACCTCAGACACTATGCTTTCATTGATCAACTTGTCCTTCAATCTTATACAGGGCTTGCTTGGTACGTACAGTTAGTCATTGAACTAGAGTCATAGTGATATCTTTACGTATAGCAAAGTAATCATTGATCATGTGCTGTAGGGCTACCTGTTCTGTGTTGTATATATTTTACCCTCTGCCAACTTTAAAATGAGGTCACAGAAGTCTATTTTTATAACCTTTAAGCCTCAAACAGTTAGTAGGATGAGAGGGACTTAGCTTATTTCATATGTTGCATATTTTTTGGTCAGATTTCATATGGTACAAATTTTTTCCGATTGGAATTCCCCAATTTTATAAAGTTACATTTGAAACTTTTTGTTAAGTTTTTCATAAAATGTTTTACTTTAATTTGGTTTAATGTTCTACTTAGTGGAAAATGTATTTTAAAATGTGTTATTTCCATAATTGTTACTATTGTTACTACCTTCGGTAGCTAAGAAAAGCTGATCTTTGCTTGATGAGACCCACAAAAATGTTATTGCACTTACCTTTAGTAGTTTTTGGGACATAAAAAAGTTGTGTGCATAGAAGAATGTATGTTAATCTTTAATGATGGTCATGGGTACACAAAATACCTTGAACTGTGGTTCGCTCTTTTGTTGTTGTTATATAGAAATATTCAGAGCAGGACATGGAATCTTGATATTTTGTTATATATAATTGCATCTGGTCACATTTTATATCAATATATACAAAATATGATACGTATATTTTATTTTGATCCGCATTGATATTTAACATTTTTTATATTTACTAATGAAGAGATTAATTGGCCTGTCCGGTCCGGCCTTAACATTGTTTGAATTTTAAAAAAATTGTTTGACCTTTGACTTAAGTCATTGTACCACCGTACAGGGCTGATGTTGACCTTTGGCTTAAGTCATTGTACCACCAGACAGGGCTGATGTTGACCTTTGACTTAAGTCATTGTACCACCGTACCGGGCTGATGTTGACCTTTGGCTTAAGTCATTGTACCACCGTACAGGGCTGATGTTGACCTTTGACTTTAGTCATTGTACCACCGTACAGGGCTGATGTTTACCTTTGACTTAAGTCATTGTACCACCATACATGGTTGATGTTGACCTTTTACTTAAGTCATTGTACTACAGTACAGGGTTGATGTTGACCTTTTACTTAAGTCATTGTGCCACCGTACAGGGTTGATGTTGACCTTTGACTTAAGTCATTGTACCACCGTACAGGGTTGATGTTGATAGAAAATGTTGATATTCTGCTAAAAAAAAAATCCCAGATAACTTTGAATCTCATATCATATTTATGTGTAGTTGAGGAGATAAAATATTTAATTGCTTTGTGAAGAACACAGAAGTTTGTCCAAAGAACACAGAGCTCCACATCTTAGCACAAACAAGAACATTTTTAAGTTGTGTTGATGAGGCTTTCAGATGAAAACAGTCATTGCTTATTGTTATAACAAAATTTTGCCTTGATTTTGGGGAGGGGGGGGGGTGTCAAAGGAAAAATCTTGAAAAATTCAGTTTTTGAGAAAAACGTGTTTATGGGTGTGAAGGTATGATACAGTGGTTCCCAAACTGTGTGCCTTCATGTCCCGGGTTGCCATTATTGTTTCATTTGTACAATCAAAATATGTGCTTACTTAATGCCTTGTTATATCAAGCTACATGTTATATTCTTTTACTGACTCTGTTCACTGCACAGGGGTTTACCAAACTTGCTTATGGTGGTTGCTATTATTTTTACTCTGCGGACACCATGAAGGTAAATGTTTGGGAACCACTGGTAAATACTTTTTGTGTATGAAAAAGTATTTGAAAGTACTTAAAGCATCAAGAGCACATCATTGACCTATCATGTCCAGTGACAGAGCAATAAAGCAAAATATAAGTGAAACATTTTTATATAAAGAAATAAATTAATATAAATTAATATAAATGTCTTAGATCGGTTTATTAGTGACATGATCCTTGACAATATTTACCTTATGTATATGTCACAATAGATCTATCTGTCACAAAATCTAAATGGTCTATTCACCATGTGCCTTTCATCTCTGTTATATCAACTATGTTATCAATGTACTATCATCAACATGTTAGGATTTCTCCATCATACTTGTGGCGCTTCCAACCCTCGTGTTTTTTTGGTTATCTCTAACCGTTGTGGCGGTTATTTACCATTAAAATTAAAAATTTGAGGGCTGCATAGAGTCGACCCAAACATGGCTTAACCAATCAGTTTTTGAAACTTTTTTCATGTGGTGTTATCCCATAAAATGCGCTGATAGAGAGAGATCTGTGATGTCCAGTATGTTCTACAACCAGTGGCATATGAAGTGGGGTGCAGATGGAGCGGGCTGCACATTTTGTTTTTATTGAGGGGGGGGGGTGGTCAACATTTTCAAGCAACAGCAGATTTTTTAAATTGGCAGGAAGGCAGCCTGCCCCTGGTGGCCCTGACCTCCAGTATGTTCTACAACCAGTGGCATATGAAGTGGGGTGCAGATGGAGCGGGCTGCACATTTTGTTTTTATTGAGGGGGGGGGGGTGGTCAACATTTTCAAGCAACTGCAGATTTTTTAAATTGGCAGGAAGGCAGCCTGCCCCTGGTGGCCCTGACCCTAGCTATGCCACCGTCTGTAACTGTGACTAGATGCCTACCCGCCACTCCCCCCCCTTGAGTTACACCGCTGCGTTCAACTTAAACAGTGAGAAAATAAGTTTTCTATCTTAACATTCCACTTGTTGATAAAATCATTCTTTTTGTTGCATTGATGTATGCTGAAAATAAAGACAGATATCATGACATTTTGTCATTAGTTAATATTTTAGAGTACCATATGATGTTTGTTAGCTAACAAAATAAGTGCAACTATTGGCTGACCTGAGTGAAATGTATGGCCCAGTATCTTTGTTTGATCACAGCTACAAATTCATTCAATGAACTCAAGACAAATCAATTTTGAAAAAGGTTGGGTTTTTATATTCTAAAAACAGTAAAAACATTGATAATTTAATGAGCTACTTTTAAGTGTAAACCTATAAACATGGCATTAAATACTGTGTACAGGAGATGAGTGAATCTATGAAGAGTTCATTTAATGAGACCAGGTTAATGGAAACATAACTGGATGAACGCTTTAAGCCAACGGCAGCTACCTTGTCCAAGAATCCATCGGCCATCTGCTCAAAAAATGGCCTTGGGATGAATCCCATAGGAGATTAGAGGTTAAACAGCTCTGTCCAGTAGACGTGAGTTGTGGACGATGTGTTTTTCATGGCGATTAAAAAAAACTAACAAGATACAGATGAGAGTCTTTATTTAGAGGAAGTCAAATGGCAGAATCAGATTTAAAGTATTTAAAGATAAATACTAATTGTTGGCCCAGTTGCCCTGAAAATAGATTCATGCAGCGTTGCTACATCAATATGTAATCATATACAACTATGTGAGTAGTGGCTTTATTGCCCTGATGTTTCATACCAAGGGCCAAGCGAATGTGGGAGAAGGGGGGGCAATCCCTTGGACACCAACATGAAGGTGGCAGCAAAATCTTCTACAGACAGGACCTCAAAAGTGAACTAAACTATAAAACTCCAGCACTTCATAAAGTCAAGGGGAAAAAAAATTGTCTTTTTACTGGTCTGTCCCAGTGGCACCTTCTCTACATATTTAGAGGTGTCATTTTCAGGATTCACCCTGGTGTTGCCTTTCCTTGGCTCGGCCCTGACTTTATGTCCCTGAAGTTCCCACAGCAAGGTTAGAAATCATTTCATGAAGGAATGTGGTAAAAAAGATGGCTGCCGTTTAATGAAATGCATTAAATCATTAAGTAGAGAATTGAATGTAAAGAAAATAATTTAAATAGCATTAAAGTTTATTTTAATTAAAAAGGTCAAGGATTATAAGTTAAAGCAAAAACAGGAATGCAGCAAGATTAAGTGGAAAAATGATCTCAAATTGATATTTGAAGGTTGCATGCAGCGTCATATTTTGTAGTTATCAGCCAGCAATGGTTCCATGAATATCGTTATCACCAGATCATTAAAAAAAAACACACACATAAATTAATCACATAAAATTTTGAAACATTTATTGGCCCAAACAATTTTAAAGGGTAAGGTCAAGGTTATTCTTCAACAACCTAAACTGAGCCTACATTCTGCCTGCAACTGCCGTACAGGTGCTTGTTGAACTTTTGATATGCTCTATTTTTCATTTCATGTATATTCCTTTGGCTTGCTGCTGACAGCATTATAAATCAGTTTTGCCGAAACAAACTTGAAATTTAAACAATTTCTCAGCCCTACAAGGGTCCAAATTAATTATATCAAAAGAGGGGGGGGGGGGGAGAACGTCAATTAAAATAAATGCTGTGCTTTGAGAAATTCCTTTTTAATTAAAAAAAAATGTTGTGTACGACTGTTTGATAATATTTGTAGGTCTCGCTACATGGATTAATTTTAATTTATAGTTAGCTATAAAATAATTTGTAACATTTTCAATAAAAATAGAATTTCAACAATTATTATTTTATTAACAATATAGAAGCTTGGCAGGATGATCTCTAAAAACTATGGCACGCAGATGCCAATATTTTGCATAAACACAAAACTACTCAAAAAGTTGACCTAAAAGTCAAAAGATACCATGGCAATATTGATCTATTTATAGTTCTTTGTCATCACTACACAACCAATGTTGCCTTCCAGAGCTGAGAAAATTAAAGAATTTTTATTTCTTTGAAAAGTTTATCTCCATCCCATGATTTACATACATTTTGTATTTTTTAAAAATAACAAACTGGTTATTTTTCTTTTTTTTTTTTTCTTTCTACTTTTGGATCATCAAAAGTTGACACGCTGACACTGAAATTTTCATTTTCAGTTCAATGATTTTTTTTTCAATAACACAAAAAAAATGATATTGGATTGGAAATTATTTATGACATGACAATCTATATCTTTGGTCTTGGCTCGAATTGATGTAAAAAGTTGATAATGTTTTGTTGCCTAATCTACGTGGATTGTTATTAATAGTTGAAAAGTTGAGGGATGATGCATGATATCAACATTAAGATGAGAGAAAACTGTAGCGCATTTTCGCCAGCTGAAAGACAAAAAAATACGCCATTAACATTTTTAAAAAATTTGAAATGAAAAAGCTAAGGAAATATGCCTAAAATAGAAAAATCATTTCCATAAATGAAGTCACCAGTATTAAACCAACACTTAAGTTAATTACGTTGCAGTGATCATTGATTGAACAGCCACCCAAGAATTTTAAAACAGAGAAATTTTACTCCTTAAATTATTCTAATTAAAAAAAAAAGAATTGTTAGATTTGTAGAATTCGGCACTTATAAGTTCGAGTTATTTCTTAGCGAGTTATCATAAATACCATTCTCCAACTACAGACTTACAACACGTGTTTCCTTTCTGTGTGTAGCCGTCTGCACACGCGCATCGACTGTTCTCACAAGCGGAAGCGTACATCTCGCCATTACAGTCATCCACCATCAAGCATGGCCTCCCCTTGGCTAAACAGACCGGAGACCAAAGATGAGCCGTCTGCTGAATGCCTTCTTTTATATGAATCACCGTACTAGTGGGCTACTATATCTTGTCTATATACCTTCTTGTATATGAGTCACTTATGGTTATATGTATTGTCTATATGTCATGCTATAACTGTCAATAATAATGACAGAGACGTTGTTCAACCCGCTGAAGAAAGGTAATACAGCTTTACTCCTTTTAAATAGTTCTTACGGATTAACTCCCTAAACAAAAGCTTTTGCAGTAAATAAAATGAGATATTATTATTTAAAGTTTTTAAATCAAGTTAATATTTTTTTTGCAATGTGTTATTAGCAATTTGGGGGGGGGGGATTGATTCCAGATGAAGCTCCTTATATCCAACAGGGGTTACTACGAGTAACGAGTGTGTGCTTTTGTGTGCTTTTGGTGCGTAGGCCTACTTCACTACTTGACCAAGCGCACCATTCTTATAGATTATGCACCTCCTCAGTTATTTTACACACTTCTAGTTTGTATGTGTAAAATTTGAGTATGGGTCCACTCGTTAAAAGAAAAATTTACCAAAATGAAACATAAAAAAACTACATGACTTTATTCAGTGGCGTACCTAGGCTCGTTGTGGGGGGGGGGGGGGGTTATATAATCTATGTGTTTTAGGGGGGACCAATTTTGGGGGTAATTTCCAGACGATCATTTACCTCTAAATGAAACATAAAAAAACTACATGACTTTATTCAGTGGCGTACCTAGGCTCGTTGTGGGGGGGGGGGGGTGTTATATAATCTATGTGTTTTAGGGGAGACCAATTTTGGGAGTAATTTCCAGACGATCATTTACCTCCAATAATGATAGTGAAGCCTGCACTGACCACGGATGACCTATTTTCTGAGTGGGCTCTACAGGTGTACGTGCCACTGTGACCACTTCCGGCGCTTGTTATCTGCAACATATGATTATGTCTTGAATATAAAACATAAGTTATCTTGAATAAAACCAAGTCAATTATAAGTTATCTTGTATATGATCCAGTCAATTATAAGTTATCTTGGATATGATCCAGTCAATTATAAGTTATCTTGGATATAATCCAGTCAAACATTCCAGATGGGGGCTTAGATATCCTGGACATACTTTTATTTTAAAAAAAAATTCAAAACTTTTTTCAAGCACAAAATGTAAATATTATTGAATTTTATTCAAGTTATTTTTAATTTGATTGCAATCATTTAGCTAAAAACACGACCGTCTTAGTCCAGATTATGGCGCGAAGAATGCCTCTCACAAAAAGCAAGAGATGAGATATACACAATTCAAATTAAAGGGAGACCATCAAGAGTCCGCCATGGGCGTCATAGAAACTGTGCTTAGGTTCACACAAGGGGGTTCATCTACAAGACCCAGGACCAAATAAAATCTATTCGGTAATCTGTTTTAAAAACACCGTTTGCTTGGACATGGACCCACGTCAGCCTATGCAGATTGAGAACCTCCCTGTCTCAGCCTTGCCCGGCTAATATAACATCATGACCTGTTGCTGTTCCTTTACTTGCCTGGTACATTCTTGAGGTAGTCCCACTTATAGTGGTCCCCTTACTTAACTGGTACATTCTAGAGGTGGTCCCACTTACAGTGGTCCTCTTACTTAACTGGTACATTCTAGAGGTGGTGCCACTTACAGTGGTCCCCTTACTTAACTGGTACATTGTAGAGGTGGTCCCACTTAGAGTGGTCCCCTTACTTACCTGGTACATTCTTGAGGTGGTCCCACTTAGAGTGGTCCCCTTACTTACCTGGTACATTCTTGAGGTGGTCCCACTTAGAGTGGTCCCCTTACTTACCTGGTACATTCTTGAGGTGGTCCCACTTAGAGTGGTCCCCTTACTTACCTGGTACATTCTT